CTCCCTAGCCCGACTTTGAAAGCCCCATCACTTCTGCACAACCAAGCGGTCTCTTTGCTGGGGAAAATGGGGTGGTTTGGGAAATATCTCGTGTTGAGGTTTCCTCGCATGTATCGATCGGTTTTCGCACCTGGTGGAGCAATTGAGCTATTGATACATACACGTGTAAGCGAGCTTTTCTTGCAAAGTGAGTTTTTCTCTCGCTTCCGCTCCTGGCCTAGTGGATAGCGCTAGGTCGTGTGTACACAGAGGGAACAGAGTGCTGAACTCTTGTCGCATTAAAAATCGAAGGCAAAGTACCGCAGGAGGGGAGGGTAGAGAGGGCTCTTCTGTGTGACCACGGGTTGGAGTAAACGGCACCAGTGCTGTGAGCGCTGATTTGAAGTAAAGACAAAACAAAGAAGCATACAAGTGTACGACAGGCGTGCTGGATGGGTTGCGATCACTCGCGCACCAAGACACACCACATACTACAATGCAATAAAATACAGATAACATAAACAAGTACCAAATAGAGTCCTCTATTGCAAGTGCGAGCTAGGTTCAGGTTTACTACATTAGGGGAGCACCAAATGACGACCCTACTGCTTCAATTCATGGTGTATCTACGTATCTACCCTTTTGTCTTTTTTTCCACGCCCTCTAGTTCTGAGCGTGTCAATGCATGTATGTGGAAGTATTGCTCTTCAAACCCTGTGCACTTGGAATCCGCTCGGTGACACAGGGCAATGCTCCACGAGGACGTAGACAAACTTTTGTTCTGAGTGTGTAACTTGCATGTGGAAGTACTGCTTTTCATGCCCTGTACAAATGGAATTCCACTTGCCACCGCAGGGCAATGCTCGGCGAGGACGTAGAGACTACGGCGGACACCACTGGTAACGGTGCGGCTGCCACAGGTGATGGTGCCGCCCCGGCGGAGGGCAAGGACCTGGCCGCCGCCGCGGCTGCTGCTACGGTAGCGGCTGCGGAGGAGGACGACGACTTCGAGAAGGCAAAGCAAGAGGTAAGCAGAGCGTGTAGCGTTTCGTCGAGCTCGTCATGTCGGGTAAGAAATAACATCTCTCTTGCTTCCGCATATACTCCACAGCAGTAGAAAAATGTGTGCTAGTAACACGAGGAGCTGCAGAGAACAAGGTGGTGATTCACAAACACAACTGTCCATGGTTGACGTTGATGCCACTCGTCTCGTTTGCTGGGAGAAGTAGGTACTGTAGATCGGCGGTATGGACTACCCAGATGACATTGAGGGCCCTTTCCCCCTCTCTAATCCAAGGGACTTACCAGCAGCTTGAGCATGTACGGTGTGCGTTGTATACAAACCTCGTGCTCCCTTAATTTTCGCTGTCTACATCCTTGTGGAGTGTGCAATGGTTCCCTTGTGGTAGGTACCTTAAACACATCGATTCAGCGCATGGAACCCTTCCGGTGTGGATCACAGGAACAAACCCGACGGGTCCATATTGCAGGAACACAGAGTACGGTTTATGCTGCCTAGCCCTCCCCCCCTCCCAACCTAGTTTTTATCATTCCAACTCGTGCACTAATGTTGTGGTGCGGTAAACTAGATCGACGGCATGGAGGACCCGGATGACGAGGAGGAGAAGCTGGAGGGGCTGCAGCAGATCATCTCGGACTCGACAGCACACGCCACGGCGGCCGCCGCGGCTGCGGCCGCGGCGGCAGCGGCTGCGGCCAGCGAGGCCGCAAAGTCCCCTGACGAGTCTTCAGTGTGAGTATTGCCGTGTAATACATATACGGTGTCTTCGTCTTGTTGTGGGAAATTTAATAGTTGTGTCCCAATCTTAGTATTCTAGTGTCTTACAATTAAATGTGTCGTGAGTCTTCGTGTAAGTAGTGTCACACAAAGGTGTCTCAGTCTTGGTGTACGTGATGTCTTAGTCTTAGTAGTGTCTTACAATAGTAATAACGTCTGAGTCTTCGTGTAAGTAGTGTCACACAAAGTGTCTCAGTCTTAAGTGTAAGTAACGTCTTAGTCTTGGTAGTGTCTTACAATAGTAATAGCGTCTGAGTCTTCGTGTAAGTAGTGTCACACAAAGGCGTCTCGGTCTTAGTGTAAGTAACGTCTTAGTCTTGGTAGTGTCTTACAAAGCCTCTTCTTGAGTATCGTCAAAGCGTTGGAGTACGATTAATGTCGTTGTGTGCGTGTCTTCGAAGCGTGTGTTCCGGTCCGTTGCGTTGCTTGTGGAGAAGGCGCGCATACGATCCGAGAAGGTTTTTGAACCGCCTTCTCGAAGGGTGTCTGTAAGGGGAGCGGCACAGCCAGCTTAGCTTGTCCAGCTCGTCAATAAAAACGTCTGTGTGGGTGAATGAAGCACGTGTTATTTTCCTTGCAGGATATATCATGGTGTCATTTTTTGTGTTGGTGCTCGCGCGCGTACGTGGTCGCTTAAGCTCCAGCCCTATCTCGTTCCTTAGTGAGGACTGCTTTTCGAGTTTTTTTTGTCATCTCGATACACCATCACGAAACCCCGACGCGTTTATGCCGTGTTCGTGTGCCTGCGGTTATGCGAGGAGGGGGAGACCAATGCGATTTTCAAACTAGAGGTGGCTTGTTTGGTCGTGAGGTTCGATCCAACATGACACATGTTTTGCTTTAATTCAAGAAAACAAATTTCGGCTGCTGCCTTTTCAACGTGATTGCAGCCGCCGGCCTAATTGGTCCCTTGAAAGTATTCACGGGCCAAGCTGCCAATCTTCCTTGAGTGCGTTTCGTGCATGCGCGATGACGAGGGCGATGGTACTCCACTTGATCCATGAGATAAACCTTTACCTTGAGAACGGCAAGCGTAGGGCATTGCACACACACCCGCACTCATGTGTGGTCATGTGTGTCAGCCGCTGAGCGCGGTCGATTCTCCTTGGAAACCCTCACACAACCTCACACAGCGTTATGATCCCCCCACACGATTTTTTTTTTTGGCTCGACCCTTGATCATGACCCTCCCTCTCTGTGCATGCGTGCGAATGCCCTAACCGCTGCTAGGCCTCCTCTCTCCTTGCCACCCTCGTTTTGGAATCCCTAAAAAATGCAACACCCCTAAAAAAAAACAGGTACGTCGGACAGGTGGACTACGACGCCACCCCAGACGAGCTTCAGAGCCATTTCGAGGCATGCGGCACCATCAACCGGGTCACGATCCTGTGCGACAAGTTTTCAGGAAGGCCTAAGGGGTACGCATACATCGAGTTCGCCGACAAGGACGGGTCGGAGAACGCCCTCGCTCTGGACAACTCCCCCTTCAAGGGCCGCAACCTCAAGGTGTGTTACGAAGAACACTGAAAAGACGTGCAGGTTGTCACGTACCAGGTATTTCTCAGTTTTTGTGAGCTAGCCATGTTTATTTGTGTTTATTTTTTCAAGCCCGCCAAGGACAACGATCACACTGTACCGGTGTACGTTATGGTCATTTTCTTTTGGGGGCGCCACCGTATCCTGCATGGCATGGACACGCCACAAAGTTATTGTGTAACCGTGTTGAGCGTCTATGACGATTGGTTGGTGGTTTTTGTGCGCTGAAAAGAAACAAAATAACGTGATGGCGCAGTTGGTGCACTCGCTTGCATGCAAATGTTCATGTTTTTTTTCCAAGGCAAGGTCCCCTCCCCTACCGCCACCCCGACCTGATGAGAGCGTGACGGTTCCCCACGAACAGCAGTGGAGCGCTTGTGCCAGGGCTAGGGGTTGATTCGGACTGACCGTGTGCCACCATGAGTTTCTCCCCGTTAACGTAAACGTGCATCGAGTCGATCGTCACTAGGTCGCCTCTAGCGCATAGCAGCGGAGCGCTTGTGCCGTGGCTTGGGATTGGAACGACCAGATTCAACGACAGATACCAGCTGATAAATTGCGTCCATTGAATGAATAGGTCACGCCGAAGAGAACAAACGTGCCGGGGCTGAGCATGCGGG